AGGAGTTGTGTTACTCTGTATACTTGTTCAGACCGCTTATGGTCCTGCTCCGCTTTGTGTTAGGAGGGATGATCATTTCCTGAAAAGCAATAGTCACTGGCCTGTTTTGATTATGTGGTAGATTCTTAGTCATTTCAAGTTAACTAGTGGACGAGAGTGTCTAAAACCACCCTCAGGCTACCTCAAGATTCTATTGCTGTGTTGAAGCAGTTACAAATGGACTGCTGTTTTGATGATTTAAGGAAGGTCGCTAGTATGTCAGAAGTTCGAAAATAGAGGATCTTTGACTGATCATGTCATCAGAACTTCAACTATATGTGGGACGAACAAAAAGACACCCCTAAGGACGGACGTGTCTGTTCGTTCACGCCAAGTGTATTTGAACTTCTCATACCAAGATATGTGGGTTTTTATCACAAGATTTGCAGTGCGAGATGCTATCGCGGTTTAATCTTAGTTCCTTTAGCATTTGACTTTCGTTCTATTATCGCGACCATAAAGAACGTTCAGCTGTAGCACCCTTTTAGTGCGTAACTGCCATGCCACCCGAAGGCTGCACGAGGGCTGGGATACTGCCAGGTTGCCCAAGCCTAGACAGGGCAAGTCGAGAAATGGAGGTCGGGTTTGAACCATGGACATTCCGGTCAGTAAATTCGTGCTCTAACCACTTGGGCCATCTCGCTCCCATAGACGCTTCATCGTCTACTGCAGTCGGACTGCCTGAATGTTCTTTGATACTTGATCAATTCGCATAGTTAGTGGTCTTTTAGAGAAATAGCACCTCTCAATTGTCCAAACACCTTCAAGAGAAGCAGGGTTCTTGTAAGGTGAGACAGCCTCATCATGCATAATCTCCCAGTCCTGTCGCTTTTACACACCAACTCAGGTTTTTATCTTGCTGCTCCAGAAGGTACACGGTCGTTTGACTAATTGATACAGCAAAAGCAGTCATGTCATATTCAAATTCCCTCAGGTAAGGCATACTCCTCACCACACGTGACCCGCCGCATTTTCCCATCTTGCGGTCGATAAACACAATCGAATAAGTGCCCCAGCCGGTACACACAGGGAATCTTGATCGGCAGAAGCTGTACAATGCGGAACAAAAAACGCAGATCAGTGGGAAAACGAAACTACAACAAGGTGAGAAGGTACTCATTCAAACTAAGGTGGATTGACCCGCAATCGAATGCGGGGAATATATGATTCGGAATTCCACATGCCAAAAGTAAAGTGACATTCGAACAATCGATTTCGCGATTCATGGTGACGATCGTTGCTGATACGTCGACTTTAGATGACACCTCAGTAGATAGGTCTTATGAGACGTCCAGATACAAACACCATTTTACAGATAACTCGTGCATGGGTTTTTCAAGGGGCTTACAGTCAATGAAACCTCCATGCGGAAACTCTAAGTTACGTTTCTGTCTTTAATATGCTTTTGTCGAAACGTAGTGAAAAATAGATGTTCAACTAAACCTGAAAAGGTGTGAATCTAACAGGCATGTTCTACTTGAACCCAAATTAGACTGTTTTTTCGAGAAATACGTTCATTTGCAAATCAATTTGGTTTTCACGAGTGACTCCACTGAATCTCTCGTCTATGATATTCTACAACTGAATGTGCTGAACAAAGGCCACCTCATGTTTTAGTTGGCATGATATTCGAGCTATCGAAAACAGTCCAATTTGGGTTCAAGTAGGACATAAGGTTGATGGAATCTCGAAGAATGCGCCTATCTGATGAACCCCAAGAAGGGCGAAAACGGTCGTGGGCTGTCGAAGAGTTTTCAGCAACCTTATGAGTAGTCTCCTTCATGAAAACGAGGGAGTTTCACTTCTCACCGCTTACTGTGAAAACGAGGAGTTTCACTTCTCACCGCTTACTGTAACAACGAAACAGCATTGCTATCCCAACAAGTATTGCACGGCAAACGAAAATGTACCATAGCTACGGTTACGCCCAGTAACAATTGATATTTTTACGCAAGTTAACTACTTCAAGCGGACACCTTTTTCAACTTGGTATTCCATGCGATTTCAAGAAATCCTCATAACCTGTAAATGCTATCCAACCTGCGTTTGCTGTACGTTGTTTAGATCAGCCAAATATGGACAAAGCAAACAGTCCACTAAACTGACCAGAAAGGCATCGCAGCACCTACAGGGGGCCATGGATGCTTGATGTCCATATCTGGATCAGGCTCATGCCACTCCGACCGACAGTGATTACAACTCAGAGCTGAGCTGCGCTTTGATTAAAATCATTTGTTCTTCGAAGATCCGGTGAAATCGCAAGAAACTCAGCTAAAACAACTGTGGCTTTAATAGTCCCGTTGTGTTGATCGTGTAGACCGAGTAAACGATACCGGGACGAATTCCGACACTATTTTTGGTGCCGCAGTTTAACGTGACACCATCGGCAGCCAGATAGTCCTGGGGATATCGTGCGTTGCAAGTTTGACCCCAGGAAAACCAACGCAATCGGTCTGTGAGAAGCACGGTTGATGAAGTTCGGAATGCATTTTTTCGGTATTTAAGATTAACGCATAATCAAGGAGGTCAGATCCCCTTGAGAGAGAACTCTCCGCGGAATATCCCATTGAGATTCCGAGTGTTACGGATACGTTTAGACCAAATATAGTCGTGCCGACCTCGTTTACTTCTTCTAAACTGAAAGTTTGACCAACTTCGTTGAATCTCATTCGAAGACTAGGGGGCTCCTCATATGCGCAATCACTAGCCAGTCGATAGAATTTTACTTTAGGAGCAGCCCCCGGAACAAGCAGTGCTCTTCAGCATCGCACAATTCACGGCTTGTTGGGAAATGTTGCATGTTGGATTCGGGCAACAAGTCACGGGAAATCCGAATGAATTCTAACTAGCCGAATTCGAATAGATCACACCTTCACACGTCCCAGCACCTAATACCAACTAGCTTCATCGAACCGAATAGATGATATCTCATCCCGAACGTATAGCGGCCGGAACCAGGCAAACGATATTAGTAGCTCTTTTGAAAGAAAGCTACTTTTGAGGTTGAAAACTCACAGACAACCTACCACCGATCTCACCTTACTTTCCTCGCTCACAGTCAGTTGGAGCTTACCTGCACAAACTGCGTTGATTGACTTATTCGCCAACGCAGAACCCATCACAGGGCCGGTTGGAGAATGCACTTTCCACAAATCGGAGCAGCGCATGAATCGTAGTCACCTGACGTATCCGGCCAACTGGTAAACCCCTCTCTCTCGAAACGGAAGCAAAGTTACGAGGTTACACTCAGCTAACACATAATAAATAATAATAATCGTTCAGCTGTAACATCCTTTCGGTGCCTAGCTTCCATGCCAGCCGAAGGAAGCACGAGGGCTGGCATACTGCCAGGTAGCCCTAGCCTAGACAGGGGAAGTCGAGTGACAGCGGTCGGGTTCGAACCACGGGCCTTCCGGTCAGTAAATTCGCGCTCTTAGCACTTGGGCCATCTCGCCCCCCAGCTCACGCATATCATTTGAGTGTATGCATTATGGTCACCGGTTAAAAATTGTTGCAAAAGTGCCACGTCACATCATGACGACCTGACTGTCAAACTCACCCATCTTTGAATAAATACCGTACGTTAGGATCACTTTCCATTCAGTTACATGAAAGAACAGCGTTTTTTCTCCTCATCCAAGTCAACCTTAACGCTGAATTTCATTTGTACAGCTGAACGGAAGATTAGACGCCTGTGCGAAAGTGGCCGAATTTGTGACCCTAAACTTCCAGCAAACGAAGGTTACATCAAATCTTCGAAAAAGGTCACTCCCTAGGAAACAGCACTTCACCAATCTGTCGAGGAACTAGCTTTGTTTACCACCCCAGGAAGTCATCGGCGTTATTTGAAGAATGATTTTGTTCCTGAATATGATCAGCTGTACAAGTGAAACACCCTTGTTTCAAAGAGCACATGGAAACGCAGGAAGACCTAAGTTACGGGGCATAGGTTAGAGTTGGTCTAGTTGGAAACCAAAGGTTGAACTGTGTTCAGTTTTGCTTCACATTGCAAACAACATTGAGCCTCGCTTCCGTTCTCCCGTCGCCACTTTTTGACAGCGTACGTGATGTGCTGGCCGTCCGTCGTGGTATGTTCATCGGTCAGCTGCTGCTACTGTGATCTTTCGAGTTCGGGTAGACTTTTCGCACCCTCCTAACTGTAGGGCGAAAGTCCACACAGCGTGCGGCCAGAAAAGTTCATGTTACAAAACGTGGTCACGTGACGCTGGAACAGCCTTGACCTATGTCAAAATTCGACACTAGATTGGCGAATTCCACAGTAGTTTCTCCATCCCAGACGAATCAGACAAATTCTAGGGTGAATTGTAATTTCAACGGATTTGCTCTGTTAAAGCTAAAATAACTTGAACAGAAGCTCATCGGGTAATTAAGAGGTTGGCTTGGTGAGGATAATAGCAAAATTAGTACGATTTGATAATGAATACAACTCTCAATTTGAAAAATTGAGTGGCTCTTCAAAAGACGTGTCTGTGCGTTTTCACCTTTTTGCCACTGCACTAAAACAGTGCTTCATGTTTGTAATATGCTACTCATAAGGTTGCTGAAAATCCGTCAACCTTATGAGTAGTGCATTACAAAGATATACATGCATCGCGATATCTCGAATATCGTAGCGACTGAAACATGAGGCGGCCTGGTGCAGCACATTCCGTTGCCTGAAAACATCACAAACGAGAGATTCAGCTGGGTTCCAGATGGGTCTCTCGAAAAACCAAATTAGTTTGCAAATGCGTGTATATTCGCTAAGTGCTTCATCTTAATGAGACGCGCTGGGTCACGTGACCGCCTCGCATCCCTCAATAGCACACATATCATGTGTCCCATTACAGGTATTTGTCTCCGTCAACCACCAATGTGGTCCGCGCTTCATCTTACTAAGACGCGCTGGGTCACGTAACTGCTTCGCACCCCTCAATAGCACACATATCGTGTTCCCATTACAGGTGTTTGTCTCCGTCAACCACCAATGTGGTCCGAAACCGAACCGATTTTGACCTTGAACTCCGTTGCAAGCAGTTGGCCTAGAGGGGGAGACTTGCTACTGGACCAGCAGTTCCACGCCAATACGGTCGGCATGGAGCGGTACAATTCGTGGAATTCCGTCCTGTGCGATATGCAGCACCATCATCCGCAGCAGCAACAGCAGCCTCGTGACCAACTGCCGCAGACGATGCATTCCGAAACGCTCCAGCAATTCAGAAATGATGACTCCCTTATACGGGATCCTTGTGGATTACAGTTCGGTGAGTTGTGTGAGATCAAATGCCTGATTGCTTTCCTAAATCTGGACAAAGACTGAGCTGTCATCTTGTAGTTGGCCTAAAACTGATCAAACAGCAATTGAGACAAAAGTGATCAATTAAGATAGGGAATTTGAATGCAGATAACCTTTGGTGAACCGTACGGCTTTTTTCAAAGTCAGCTGACAAAGAAACGTGTGCGACAAGTGCACCATCGATTGGTAGGTGGCCGCAGTTTCAAGTCAGTCTTTCGTCGAGTTTTAGGGCCCCAATATCCACTAATTCTTAGATTTACCATCGTTTATTAGGTGGCCGCAGTTTCACGTCGACTTTTAGGGCCCCAATATCCACTAATTCTTAGATTCCTTGAGCGGAATTTCTCTGACCCAAGCAACCTAGTTCCTGCATTGGTTCATATGTCCCAGGAGTTGGATTTTAGTGAATAATAGTTCAATTCAATCAGTTCAATTTATTAGCTATAAACCATAGGTCCCAGCTGCTACCGTTTCGATCACTGGAAAACTGGAGTGTGGGACGTACAACTAAGCCTTGGAGGCGTTGACATGTTCAGTTTGTTCGGAAATCGGGTAGCTAAGCATTCAAGGTGATAGCTTTGACGCGCGAGCGCCATTGACTGTGCGATTGGGCCACTTCTGCCAATGTCATTAACCATTGGTGATTTGAGTCCCCGGGGGGTCCCCATCCTGTTGCCCACCCGACTAAGTTTTAATGGGTAGTGTTTTCGTAATTCGTTGCCAGGCCATACACTGTCCACCTCTCGGTCGCTTTCACTCAGCACAGGGCTGGGAAAACAGCTCTGTGAGGCAGATGGTTTTCTGGCATGCGGAATACATGTTCCAACCATTGTAGTCTATGGAGCGTGAGTACTTCATCAACAGCGGAAGAGTTCCTTCTTCCATCTGGCGTACCTCGGTATTGCCAATCCGATGACCTAACCAATACTTCGGTGACACCGATGTTCAAATACGGGCATCTTCCGTATGCCCTCTGCGTGTATGGGCCAGGTTTCTAATCCCTAAATCAGTATGGATCGCGGTGTAAACTCCGCTTGATAGACAAACTGACGTCACGTCGGTGCCATAGGTGTCGGAGGTTGGTTGCCCTGGCTCTTGCGATTCGAGAAATAATCTCCAGCCACCGGGGCTGATACAGCTGCCCAGGTAAACAAATTTATCTACCACGTCGATTGGCTCGTCTGCAAGCACGAAGTGTGGGTTCGATCCCACCCGGTCTTGTAGCAGCACTTTACACTCTGCAGGTGTGAAACGCATGCCAAACGTAACTTGTGCGACTGATGTACACGAACCAGAATGTTTTGCATCGATTGTCAAGGCTCAGTGCTCGCTGCCAGTATGGTAGATCGGTCCTCATAAGGTCAGTCGATATCGGTTTTGATAGACGTACGAGAACCTGGGAAACGAGAATTGGTCGTGTAAGTGAAATCAGTTTATACCAAAAAGCCGAAACGTAGCTGCTTGAGAGAATCGCCAGCAATGCGCATCCCACGAAGCTCCAGTAGGGAGTTTCGAACCCCGGAGATCTTCCGGCAAGTAGTCCAGTGGCTGATTAACAGTGTGATCAACTCGTGCTTGGGTTGGATATAGCACCCCTCACCTCTTGTTTGGCTTGCCTTAGAAACGCAAAGCGAAAAAAAAGTTGTTGTAAATGTGTAGCGAACAAACAACTCGGTCGGTTCCAAGGTGTAGTTCCTAGTCAACTGACGCCTTAACTATCACAGCTGTAGACGCGGTGTCATCCACAACCGATGTTGGTCAATGACACACGGCTACTTGGTTCCAAGGTGTATTTCCTAGTCAACTGACGCCTTAATTATCACCTCGGTTGTAGACGCGGTGTCATCCACGACCGATGTTGGTCAATGACACACGGCTACTGGCTACTTGTATCAAAAATTCATCATTCCACCATTTAGCTCATGCGTTTTGTTTATTCAACGTTTTTCCAACAGCCATGTGAAATCTGGTTTCTCTCACACACCCACACAAGTCTCGATTCGGTTGTGTCGGCTGCGACCCACACACAACTAGTCTGTTCACCCACTGGACGTCAATCGATCGGTACAAAGTATTCTTATTATTATTAGCCTAACGACCGATATTGTGTTTATGTTAACTGTGGCAGCGAGTCATGTTCTCAGGTGGATCATTTCCAGCTTTTAAATGCGTCCTTGTATGCCTACTAAATGTTTTAGTGACAAGGGGTGTACGGAGATTAGACGCGGGCCGGCTCAATAGCCGGGATTGTCCTCTCTCTCTCTCTGCGCCGGTCTCGCAACTACAACCGTGTTCAATTCGGCTAATGGAAACTTGATGTTCTACCAACGAGGATGATTAGGACGATCCTAGTGCTGTATGATCGGAGTGACTTCTCCGAGTGGTTGGTTGTGTGAAGAGGATAAGAAGACGAAAACGACAATTAATCGTTGTCGTCAGTACAGGTGTGTAGACACACTGGGTTGTTCATTGCGCTGACCCACTTGTTTCGGATGCCACAGCAACCTCGTCAATAAACATGGTCCTGTGTGTGTGAGAGTGAGTGAGTGAGAGGGCATTTTGGTTGCCAGGTCAGTCAATCAATCGTCACATAGACGCGCATCTCGAACTTCGTCGCTATGGCCTTTTGGTATGTGTGGCCACGACAGACGAACAAGGGGGTAGTGTAGCTTTAATCGGCTTTTGTATTTACTTTATTCTGGTTGGCCGGTGATCAGGCGTTTCGCGTGTGTATTATAAACAAATATGATGTAGAATGCAACTTGGGTGCTGATAGGACCACGTGACCACCTGATGTAGTGACCGCGTGGAGTTTGTTTTATCGAACTGTTGATGATACAAACAGTCGAGGACAAGCGAAATTCATTACTTTTTACTGAATGCCATTCTATGGCCACACACGAGGGACATGGAGCTGGTGTCGATCGCTAGTGTATATCTCAGGCCAGTGTTGGCTCACGGTGATGCGGCGAGGACCATACCTTCCACCTGACATTCACTCAAACAGGATCGCTCACGCTAGTAGCGAGTAGTTTCTTGCAGGTTGATAAAACTCGACGTTTCGTCCCAACTCACGATAAAAACTGCGACCTTGGGACCCTTGACAGTGGCTGGGACTTTGAATTATCGCTGCACCAGTGTTTAGCAACGGGTACAACAAAAGCTGAGTTTACTTCAGTTCACGGCGCACCAGCGGTACGTTTCTGCATGCCAAACTAGCTTGGGGGGATCTACTAATTGATTGATAGGGATTGTGTTTGTCTACTTTGCCAACAAACATCGGTTCACGAGTAGCTGGTTCAATTCGCAATTCGAAGAAACCAGTAATGTACATTGAGTCGATCAATTAAGCTATGAAATGGTGTCTCGACGTCCCTCAGTCAGTGCGTTGCACTGCGAGTTACCATTCCTTCATATGCAGTTGAGTAATCTGGAAGGGCCAGGATGCTTCTTTCGGTTCGGTCCTCTTTGTCTGTGTGAGCAGTAGGCAGATTTACTTTTCGACGTGCAGCGTTAAACCTACCGTCCCACTCCACTGGCTTTTGTGAGACTCGGCCTATCCAAAAAAACGTGAGAAAACTGGGTTATTATGCTGCCTTCACAGGCCTCTTGATAGGGAGAGCCCAGTGGGACCACTGTCCGAAGGTGAACCAATCGAGTTTTTGATCCGCCTAGTTGGGAGGGCGGCTGCAACGTGCGACCGCAGCTTAGATTACTCACAGGTGGGTGAGGGGGGTGACAGTTACTCCAGCTCAACTCTCAGTTCATGCGACCTTCGGATTACTGGGCCATCGACTCGACGCCCATCAACTGAGCGGTGAATTGCAATTCACTGAAGTTCAATTCGTTGAACTATCAGGTCAGCGCTCGTACCATGTGTCCGGAAGCTTAGCGTGTGATTGTCAAATGGTCTCAGCTGATGAACCGTGAAACGACAGTGAACCTTCTGGTGCGACACAAAATCTGAGTACTTGTGACAACCTATCAAGCGGGGCTGATCACCAGAACTTCTGGTTAGGTGGCTGCTTTTTTTCGCGGAGCAACGTACCTACAAACCGATCTGCATACCTGACTACCCACTCAACTGCGTACTGATGATGTCTCCTCGACTGGGGACGAAAGGTTTGCCAAGCTCGGCGAACGGATCAACAGTCACCTTATCAACAACCAACAACTGATTTACTTGCAGTTGGTCTGAGCAACCGTAGGCTTGTTCAGATAGTCTAACTACTCTGGTGATTAGGCAAAGGCTAGAGGGTGTCTGCTACGGTTCACCAAACCGTGGTGTGACGCATCCTCATGGTTAACTGAGATCAATCCAGATTAGTCATTTAGATCGGATTACACCTTCGTCCAGATGCCTGAAAGAGTGCAAAGTGCTGCAGGAGCCACCGTACATCAAGTCACCTGATGATATCTTAAATGACTCGTTGAAGTGAAATTAAACAATGGCAGAATTATGCCACGAACTATAAAGACCCATGATCAGATGACTCTTTGAATTATCATTTCAAAATGCCTGCAAACCGAGAACAAAATGTCTGGCACAGGGAAAAGTATGTGCAGTCATTTTTGACCGCAAAATACTCTAGCTTCCAACTTAAATATTTCACCGAAATATACACCTTCATGAACAAGGTCCCGAGATTTCCAAAACGACACCCATTTGTTTATCGATTAGGTTTTCACGGGTGATTCAATTGAATCCGTCGTTTATGATATTCAAGTAGAACATAGGCCTGACAGAAACTGTTGCCTACCCGATGAGTTCCAAACTGGGTGAAACCGGTCGTGGGCTGTCGAAGAGCTTTCAGCAACCGTATGATTAGTACGTTAGCTCCACACAATAGCTCGACTATCGTATCAACTCAAACCTGAGACGGCCTGTGTGCAGCACATTCAGTTGAAGAACATAACCAAACTCATAAGCAAATGAGTGTATTTCTCAAAAAAAGTCCAATTTGTGTT